ATACAATAATGTATATGACAATATTTCACTGGCTTTATAGCTTCAAATGAAGGCCATCATTTCCAATGATTGTGTGATTGCCATTGGTACAGTACTAGCAAAATGTCAGAATTTTTCTAAACAAATGAAAGTAAGTACAAATGTTAGAATGTAAACTGTATTATTTAATATAGGATGAGTGTAGTTTTGTGAGTCTACGTGATGTTGATCGAGCTCTTGTATTGTTTATATATTTTTTGGAGATATTTACTGATGTATTTCAAGTATGTAGACTACATTAAGTGGGCAGTATTTAAAGCCATGCAATAAATAATTTTAGATTAATGGTCATGATAATTTGGACAAAATTACTCAATCATTATTACTGGCTCTTAGTGTAGCATATTTGGCACGAATGGCTTCACGTGATGATTTTATGACTGAAGTTTTAAATTGCATAAGTTTACCACTTCACCCTGTTAGTTTAACAGAGTATAAAAGCATTATTAAAAAGTAAGCTTTCTTGTTAGTAATTACTAATTATTTTTAAAAGGTATCAAGAAGAGTTATTAGATTGTATGGAAATTGAAAATAATATAGCGAAAAATGCTGCTCTAAGGGAGAACATATTTATGATGTTTGTGTGTATTGAATTGCGTATTCCACTGTTTCTGGTTGGGAAACCCGGGAGCTCTAAATCACTAGCTAAAGCAATCATTGAAAATTCATTGAAGGGAAAAAACTCTAAAAAGGAAACTATGAAACTTTTTAAACAAGTTTGTGCTTGCTATAATATTATTGAAAATAATTTATTACTAATTATAATAGATCCATCTTCATTCCCACCAATGCAGTGGCCTATCAACTCCTGCTAGTATTACTGAAGTATTCATGAGTGCCAGAAACTTTCAGGAAAAAAGAGATACAACGGCATTTGTCTCAGTAGTTGTATTGGATGAAGTTGGTTTAGCTGAGGCATCACCTTACCTCCCATTAAAGGCATTGCATCCATTGCTTGAAGATGGAACTGATGGGTCCGGAAGTGATGATCAAGTAACAAAATTTTTCTCTCCATGTTTATATGCATTATAAATACTTTAGCGTATTGCCAGAGAAAAAAGAGTGGCATTTATTGGTATATCAAACTGGGCTCTTGATCCTGCCAAGATGAACAGAGGAATCATGGTAACACGTACTGAGCCAAGCATTCAAGATCTTAAAGAGAGTGCAATGTACAAAAAAATAATTATGAATTGCTTAATAGTTTACTATTATTTTAGTGGCATATGCTCTGATAAAGGGAGCAATGATCCAGTACTTAAAAGGCTAAATACTTATTTTACTGAACTTGCAAGTGCATATAAAAGTATATGTGATCTTCAAAAAAGAGAATTCTTTGGACTTCGAGACTTTTACAGGTAATACAATTTGTTATCTATTTAAAATTTATACAAGACTATTCTTCAGTCTTATTAAAATGCTCTACTGGATGAGTGAAGAGACTGGTTCTATACTGACAAGACCACAACTTGAACATGCTGTGAGACGTAACTTTAGTGGCTTTGATGAGTTTGATACTGTTGCTAAATTTCAATTACAGGAACTGAAAGTACAAAAATTATCATACATTGCTACCAATATTCTTATTTTGTAGAATAATGAATTGAAAATTGTACAAAATTTCCCATGTCAGTTTGTGAGTTACTTATAATTATTTTATACCTAATAAGCCTTTAATAATAGAAACAATTCAAAAATAAAGATGTTGTAGTGCTACAATGTTTTTTAACTGGACAATTCGTGTCTATTAATGAAAATGATCAGGTTGTATTTACAACCAATCACTAAAAAA